AGAGGAAAGAGCTCGGACTCTGGGGGCAGATCAACCTGAATTCAAACCTGGGCTCTGCTGCTTGTTATGTGAGAAAGTGACTCTGTGAGCTCAAGGTGATTATTTAAGCTCTCAGCCTTGGGGTTTTTTCGATTGCAAAGTGGAGGCAGTAACGTCGAACCCAGGAAGATGAAGCAAGATGCTGTATGCGAAAGGACCAACGTGTCACAGATTTCCCGTAAAGAAATCTACTTGAAAGGGGAGGGGCAAGACAGGGGTAAGGGATTAAGAGGTACAAACTACTATGTATAAAAAAATAAGCAACAGGGAAATACTGTACAGCACAGGGGAACATAGTTATTCTTTTGCAATAACTTTGAATGGCGGATACTCTATAAAAATACTGAACCACCATGTTGTAGACCTGAAACTGTTATAACATTTTAAATCAATTATACTTCAGTTTAAAAAAGGAAATTTACTGCACCTCTTGGGGAGTGAGGGAAATGTTGGCTGTCTTGACTGGGGTGGTGACTTCATGAGTGTATATACGTCTATCAAAATCCATCAAATTGTACATCTGAAATATGTGTAGTCTACCAAACCATACCACAATAAAGGTGTTTTTTTATAAAAAGGAAATTTACTTAAAAAATTATAAAATCGTAATGAGAAAAATAAAGTGAAATCTGAGTCAATGGAGAAATCTATATGTTCAAGAACAGGCAAAAACAAATGATGAGGAGAGAAGTCAGAATATTATTTACCTTTGGGTGGGGGCTGGGCATCGGCGGGGCTGATGGACGCGCTCTGTATTTTTGTCTGAGTGGTGGTTACACACACATAGATAAATTATCCAACATACCCTTATTAATACCCTTTACTGCATGTATTACATACATAATTTTTAAAGAGGGAGAAGAGGGGAGGAAAGAGAAGTAGGGGAGGAGAAATGGGAGAAGAAAAGAGAAAGGAAAGGAAAGGGGAAAAATGAAAGAAGGAAAACTGCTGTGGAGGTGGGGGGGATCAGAACTGGAGTCAAGATCGTGATCTAAGTGTTTTTAACTCCGCCCACCCCC